ACATAAAGAGAGAGAAGGTAACACATATCTTGCAGGTATATGCGGTGTGTACCACATAAAGAGAGAGAAGGTAACACATATCTTGCAGGTATATGCGGTGTGTACCACATAAAGAGAGAGAAGGTAACACATACCTTGCAGGTATATGCGGTGTGTACCACATAAAGAGAGAGAAGGTGACACATACCTTGCAGGTATATGCGGTGTGTACCACATAAAGAGAGAGGAGGTAACACATATCTAACAGGTATATGCGGTGTGTACCACATAAAGAGAGAGGAAGGTAACACATTTCTTGCAGGTATATGCGGTGTGTACCACATAAAGAGAGAGAAGGTAACACACATCTAGCAGGTATATGCGGTGTGTACCACATAAAGAGAGAGAGGTAACACATATCTTGCAGGTATATGCGGTGTGTACCACATAAAGAGAGAGGAGGTAACACATATCTTGCAGGTATATGCGGTGTGTACCACATAAAGAGAGAGGAGGTAACACATATCTTGCAGGTATATGCGGTGTGTACCACATAAAGAGAGAGAAGGTAACACATATCTTGCAGGTATATGCGGTGTGTACCACATAAAGAGAGAGGAAGGTAACACATATCTTGCAGGTATATGCGGTGTGTACCACATAAAGAGAGAGGAGGTAACACATATCTTGCAGGTATATGCGGTGTGTACCACATAAAGAGAGAGGAGGTAACACATATCTTGCAGGTATATGCGGTGTGTACCACATAAAGAGAGAGAGGTAACACATATCTTGCAGGTATATGCGGTGTGTACCACATAAAGAGAGAGGAGGTACACATATCTTGCAGGTATATGCGGTGTGTACCACATAAAGAGAGAGGAGGTAACACATATCTTGCAGGTATATGCGGTGTGTACCACATAAAGAGAGAGGAGGTAACACATATCTTGCAGGTATATGCGGTGTGTACCACATAAAGAGAGAGGAGGTAACACATATCTTGCAGGTATATGCGGTGTGTACCACATAAAGAGAGAGGAGGTAACACATATCTTGCAGGTATATGCGGTGTGTACCACATAAAGAGAGAGGAGGTAACACATATCTTGCAGGTATATGCGGTGTGTACCACATAAAGAGAGAGGAGGTAACACATATCTTGCAGGTATATGCGGTGTGTACCACATAAAGAGAGAGGAGGTAACACATATCTTGCAGGTATATGCGGTGTGTACCACATAAAGAGAGAGGAGGTAACACATATCTTGCAGGTATATGCGGTGTGTACCACATAAAGAGAGAGGAGGTAACACATATCTTGCAGGTATATGCGGTGTGTACCACATAAAGAGAGAGGAGGTAACACATATCTTGCAGGTATATGCGGTGTGTACCACATAAAGAGAGAGGAGGTAACACATATCTTGCAGGTATATGCGGTGTGTACCACATAAAGAGAGAGGAGGTAACACATATCTTGCAGGTATATGCGGTGTGTACCACATAAAGAGAGAGGAGGTAACACATATCTTGCAGGTATATGCGGTGTGTACCACATAAAGAGAGAGGAGGTAACACATATCTTGCAGGTATATGCGGTGTGTACCACATAAAGAGAGAGGAGGTAACACATATCTTGCAGGTATATGCGGTGTGTACCACATAAAGAGAGAGGAGGTAACACATATCTTGCAGGTATATGCGGTGTGTACCACATAAAGAGAGAGGAGGTAACACATATCTTGCAGGTATATGCGGTGTGTACCACATAAAGAGAGAGGAGGTAACACATATCTTGCAGGTATATGCGGTGTGTACCACATAAAGAGAGAGGAGGTAACACATATCTTGCAGGTATATGCGGTGTGTACCACATAAAGAGAGAGGAGGTAACACATATCTTGCAGGTATATGCGGTGTTACCACATAAAGAGAGAGGAGGTAACACATATCTTGCAGGTATATGCGGTGTGTACCACATACAGAGAGAGGAGGTAACACATATCTTGCAGGTATATGCGGGGTGTACCACATAAAGAGAGAGGAGGTAACACATATCTTGCAGGTATATGCGGTGTGTACCACATACAGAGAGAGGAGGTAACACATATCTTGCAGGTATATGCGGTGTGTACCACATACAGAGAGAGGAGGTAACACATATATTGCAGGTATATGCGGTGTGTACCACATAAAGAGAGAGGAGGTAACACATATCTTGCAGGTATATGCGGTGTGTACCACATAAAGAGAGAGGAGGTAACACATATCTTGCAGGTATATGCGGTGTGTACCACATAAAGAGAGAGGAGGTAACACATATCTTGCAGGTATATGCGGTGTGTACCACATAAAGAGAGAGGAGGTAACACATATCTTGCAGGTATATGCGGTGTGTACCACATAAAGAGAGAGGAGGTAACACATATCTTGCAGGTATATGCGGTGTGTACCACATAAAGAGAGAGGAGGTAACACATATCTTGCAGGTATATGCGGTGTGTACCACATAAAGAGAGAGGAGGTAACACATATCTTGCAGGTATATGCGGTGTGTACCACATAAAGAGAGAGGAGGTAACACATATCTTGCAGGTATATGCGGTGTGTACCACATAAAGAGAGAGGAGGTAACACATATCTTGCAGGTATATGCGGTGTGTACCACATAAAGAGAGAGGAGGTAACACATATCTTGCAGGTATATGCGGTGTGTACCACATAAAGAGAGAGGAGGTAACACATATCTTGCAGGTATATGCGGTGTGTACCACATAAAGAGAGAGGAGGTAACACACATCTTGCAGGTATATGCGGTGTGTACCACATAAAGAGAGAGGAGGTAACACATATCTTGCAGGTATAAGGGGGTGTGTCCCCCCAAAGAAAAGGAGGTAAAAAATCTTTGGGGGCCCGGGGGGGGGGGGGGGCATATTTTCAAAGGGAAAATTTCGGTGTGGGACCACATAAAGAAGAGAGGGGGTAACACAATCTTTCAGGTAAATGGGGGTGGAAACCCCAAAAGAGAGAGGGGGTAACAATATCTTGCAGGTAAAGCTGTGGGACCACATAAAGAGAGAGGAGGTAACAAAATCTTGGGGGTAATGGGTGTTTTACCACAAAAAGGGGAGAGGGGTAAAACATTTCTTGCAGGTATTGCGGTGTGTCCCACATAAAGAAAAAGGGGGAGGTAAAAAAAATCTTGGGAGGTATATCGGTGTGTACCAAAATAAAAGAGAGGGGGTAACACATAACTTGGGAGGGAAATGCGGTGGGGTACCACATAAAGAAGAGAGGGTTTAAAACAAAATCTTGGGAGGGAAAAAGGGGGTTGAAACCCCCTAAAGAGAGGGAAAGGGAACACATATCTTGCAGGTATATGCGGTGTGTACCACATAAAGAGAGAGGAGGTAACACATATCTTGCAGGTATATGCGGTGTGTACCACATAAAGAGAGAGGAGGTAACACATATCTTGCAGGTATATGCGGTGTGTACCACATAAAGAGAGAGGAGGTAACACATATCTTGCAGGTATATGCGGTGTGTACCACATACAGAGAGAGGAGGTAACACATATCTTGCAGGTATATGCGGTGTGTACCACATAAAGAGAGAGGAGGTAACACATATCTTGCAGGTATATGCGGTGTGTACCACATAAAGAGAGAGGAGGTAACACATATCTTGCAGGTATATGCGGTGTGTACCACATAAAGAGAGAGGAGGTAACACATATCTTGCAGGTATATGCGGTGTGTACCACATAAAGAGAGAGAAGGTAACACATATCTTGCAGGTATATGCGGTGTGTACCACATAAAGAGAGAGGAGGTAACACATATCTTGCAGGTATATGCGGTGTGTACCACATAAAGAGAGAGGAGGTAACACATATCTTGCAGGTATATGCGGTGTGTACCACATAAAGAGAGAGAGGTAACACATATCTTGCAGGTATATGCGGTGTGTACCACATAAAGAGAGAGGAGGTAAACACATATCTTGCAGGTATATGCGGTGTGTACCACATAAAGAGAGAGGAGGTAACACATATCTTGCAGGTATATGCGGTGTGTACCACATAAAGAGAGAGGAGGTAACACATATCTTGCAGGTATATGCGGTGTGTACCACATAAAGAGAGAGGAGGTAACACATATCTTGCAGGTATATGCGGTGTGTACCACATAAAGAGAGAGGAGGTAACACATATCTTGCAGGTATATGCGGTGTGTACCACATAAAGAGAGAGGAGGTAACACACATCTTGCAGGTATATGCGGTGTGTACCACATAAAGAGAGAGGAGGTAACACATATCTTGCAGGTATATGCGGTGTGTACCACATAAAGAGAGAGGAGGTAACACACATCTTGCAGGTATATGCGGTGTGTACCACATAAAGAGAGAGGAGGTAACACACATCTTGCAGGTATATGCGGTGTGTACCACATAAAGAGAGAGGAGGTAACACACATCTTGCAGGTATATGCGGTATGTACCACATAAAGAGAGAGGAGGTAACACACATCTTGCAGGTATATGCGGTGTGTACCACATAAAGAGAGAGGAGGTAACACACATCTTGCAGGTATATGCGGTGTGTACCACATAAAGAGAGAGGAGGTAACACACATCTTGCAGGTATATGCGGTGTGTACCACATAAAGAGAGAGGAGGTAACACACATCTTGCAGGTATATGCGGTGTGTACCACATAAAGAGAGAGGAGGTAACACATATCTTGCAGGTATATGCGGTGTGTACCACATAAAGAGAGAGGAGGTAACACACATCTTGCAGGTATATGCGGTGTGTACCACATAAAGAGAGAGGAGGTAACACATATCTTGCAGGTATATGCGGTGTGTACCACATAAAGAGAGAGAAGGTAACACATATCTTGCAGGTATATGCGGTGTGTACCACATAAAGAGAGAGAAGGTAACACATATCTTGCAGGTATATGCGGTGTGTACCACATAAAGAGAGAGAAGGTAACACATATCTTGCAGGTATATGCGGTGTGTACCACATAAAGAGAGAGGAGGTAACACATATCTTGCTGTTACTACAAGATGGTAGGATCGTTATTGATGGGAACTACGCACAATCTGTAATCTACAGACAGGGGGTGGGTTACAGTACATATCTTTACAATCAGTCAGTACTACACTGTTTGCCATTGACAATAAGTCAATAATTGTATGTTCAATCTTAATCACATACAATCTAAACTGCAAGTGAGAAGGTCTCATTTCACCAGAATAACCTATTTCAGAGGACAGATTTGAGTTTCAATATGCAAAGTAATGAGAATTTTCCCGGAAGTTTGGAGTCTGGAAATGTCAGCTTTACAGACTCTAATACACTGAACGCCACTTTGAACTTTAACAATAATGAGTCCTCACAAAGTGTATCAGGAGTTAAAGGTAATACTGTTGGGTGGTTGAAATCTTCCTCAATCTCCATTCTCCAACCATATTTATCATCTTTACCCGTATATTTAGCATCTTTACCAGGATGCTCATTGGTAAAAAATAACTGATCGAAAAAATTTTAATTGTCTGATATAGTACACTTCTGCAGATGAAGCTGGAGAAGTGAATATCCCCGATACTGGCGAGGGAAAACAAAGTGTTGTTATTGACGAGTCCACATTCAAGGTTATTGTTTAAGTGTGCTATTGTTTAATAAACGTGCTCTTTCACAATTTAAACGTCGCGTTATTATTATGTTTGGTAACCATGGTAACAAGTTGCTGGCTGTAGCGAATGATCGATTATAAAGTTAGAAATGTAATTACGGAATATTGTACTATGTAATAAATCCCATGATAAGTGTCGGAAATTAGATTATCTGTGTTCATTTGCCAATGTCAGTCACCATGGTCCCAATATCACGTGGTTTACTGAGTACGAACTAAATGACGTATAAGTAGCCAGTACTAAATATGGCAGTGATAATAAGTGTAATTAGTAATAATTAGATAACTGATAAGTGTAATGGTGCTTTAAATGGAAATTGTGCTACTTTGTACGTACTTAGTACGTACTTAGTACAAGAGGTACATGTGATTAAATGTACAATTTAAATTGTAAGTGATTAGTATATGGTACTTTAACTTGTACAATGTACATATTACCTATAACATAGTTTTAAGATTCTTGCTATAAATGGCTACAGCTAACACTATTAATGCTAAGTACCAAACAACAAGTGGGAGGTGGATCGTTGGTACCATTAAATCGATTTAACACCGCAATTCCAGTCGCAAGCCTGGGACCACTACTAGCAAAGTCACAACATCTACAAAGCTGCCATATAGCCAGACTGACAATTTTCTCGACTGACTGACAATGTTTCTTCTTTTCCCCATTTAGAATACAAAGATTAGTACATTTTAGCTTATGATTAATATTATATTTTTACATATAGTTTACCTAGATAGAATAACTTGTACTCAATTTTACTATCAAGTATAATTTACAGTAGTACATTATCTAGACTATAAGATTTGTGGGAGAATTGTTTGCTTAAAATGTATAATAAACTTTCAACATACTGTCACATGTTATAAACAAGTTGATATTTGTTGTCATGACTTTTTCAAAGAAAAGATGACATAAAAGTAAGTTGTGAATCCAGTTAGCGTTGCGTTGTTGACTTACTAATTAGGGTAATCTTTGCTTTTCTAGAAGAGTAATTTACAATTATCGCACCGTTGTGGTACCAGTAATGAAGGAATTGACAATATGTCTGATTCAGAAAGTGAAGGAGTTGGATAGAAAACTAGAAAGTTACCAAACTACAGACCTGTATTCCTCAATAAGTGAGCAAACTAGGATAGCTGAGCAGCTGGAAGAGAAGATTATAAAACAACTATGGGAACTAGAGGAACACATACTTAGACTGTGAGTTTGTTTATTCTCTTATCTACTACATACTTTACTTAGACTGTGAGTTTGTTTATTCTCTTATCTACTACATACTTTACTTAGACTGTGAGTTTGTTTATTCTCTTATCTACTACATACTTTACTTAGACTGTGAGTTTGTTTATTCTCTTATCTACTACATACTTTACTTAGAATGTGAGTTTGTTTATTCTCTTATCTACTACATACTTTACTTAGACTGTGAGTTTGTTTATTCTCTTATCTACTACATACTTTACTTAGACTGTGAGTTTGTTTATTCTCTTATCTACTACATACTTTACTTAGACTGTGAGTTTGTTTATTCTCTTATCTACTACATACTTTACTTAGACTGTGAGTTTGTTTATTCTCTTATCTACTACATACTTTACTTAGACTGTGAGTTTGTTTATTCTCTTATCTACTACATACTTTACTTAGACTGTGAGTTTGTTTATTCTCTTATCTACTACATACTTTACTTAGACTGTGAGTTTGTTTATTCTCTTATCTACTACATACTTTACTTAGACTGTGAGTTTGTTTATTCTCTTATCTACTACATACTTTACTTAGACTGTGAGTTTGTTTATTCTCTTATCTACTACATACTTTACTTAGACTGTGAGTTTGTTTATTCTCTTATCTACTACATACTTTACTTAGACTGTGAGTTTGTTTATTCTCTTATCTACTACATACTTTACTTAGACTGTGAGTTTGTTTATTCTCTTATCTACTACATACTTTACTTAGACTGTGAGTTTGTTTATTCTCTTATCTACTACATACTTTACTTAGACTGTGAGTTTGTTTATTCTCTTATCTACTACATACTTTACTTAGACTGTGAGTTTGTTTATTCTCTTATCTACTACATACTTTACTTAGACTGTGAGTTTGTTTATTCTCTTATCTACTACATACTTTACTTAGACTGTGAGTTTGTTTATTCTCTTATCTACTACATACTTTACTTAGACTGTGAGTTTGTTTATTCTCTTATCTACTACATACTTTACTTAGACTGTGAGTTTGTTTATTCTCTTATCTACTACATACTTTACTTAGACTGTGAGTTTGTTTATTCTCTTATCTACTACATACTTTACTTAGACTGTGAGTTTGTTTATTCTCTTATCTACTACATACTTTACTTAGACTGTGAGTTTGTTTATTCTCTTATCTACTACATACTTTACTTAGACTGTGAGTTTGTTTATTCTCTTATCTACTACATACTTTACTTAGACTGTGAGTTTGTTTATTCTCTTATCTACTACATACTTTACTTAGACTGTGAGTTTGTTTATTCTCTTATCTACTACATACTTTACTTAGACTGTGAGTTTGTTTATTCTCTTATCTACTACATACTTTACTTAGACTGTGAGTTTGTTTATTCTCTTATCTACTACATACTTTACTTAGACTGTGAGTTTGTTTATTCTCTTATCTACTACATACTTTACTTAGACTGTGAGTTTGTTTATTCTCTTATCTACTACATACTTTACTTAGACTGTGAGTTTGTTTATTCTCTTATCTACTACATACTTTACTTAGACTGTGAGTTTGTTTATTCTCTTATCTACTACATACTTTACTTAGACTGTGAGTTTGTTTATTCTCTTATCTACTACATACTTTACTTAGACTGTGAGTTTGTTTATTCTCTTATCTACTACATACTTTACTTAGACTGTGAGTTTGTTTATTCTCTTATCTACTACATACTTTACTTAGACTGTGAGTTTGTTTATTCTCTTATCTACTACATACTTTACTTAGACTGTGAGTTTGTTTATTCTCTTATCTACTACATACTTTACTTAGACTGTGAGTTTGTTTATTCTCTTATCTACTACATACTTTACTTAGACTGTGAGTTTGTTTATTCTCTTATCTACTACATACTTTACTTAGACTGTGAGTTTGTTTATTCTCTTATCTACTACATACTTTACTTAGACTGTGAGTTTGTTTATTCTCTTATCTACTACATACTTTACTTAGACTGTGAGTTTGTTTATTCTCTTATCTACTACATACTTTACTTAGACTGTGAGTTTGTTTATTCTCTTATCTACTACATACTTTACTTAGACTGTGAGTTTGTTTATTCTCTTATCTACTACATACTTTACTTAGACTGTGAGTTTGTTTATTCTCTTATCTACTACATACTTTACTTAGACTGTGAGTTTGTTTATTCTCTTATCTACTACATACTTTACTTAGACTGTGAGTTTGTTTATTCTCTTATCTACTACATACTTTACTTAGACTGTGAGTTTGTTTATTCTCTTATCTACTACATACTTTACTTAGACTGTGAGTTTGTTTATTCTCTTATCTACTACATACTTTACTTAGACTGTGAGTTTGTTTATTCTCTTATCTACTACATACTTTACTTAGACTGTGAGTTTGTTTATTCTCTTATCTACTACATACTTTACTTAGACTGTGAGTTTGTTTATTCTCTTATCTACTACATACTTTACTTAGACTGTGAGTTTGTTTATTCTCTTATCTACTACATACTTTACTTAGACTGTGAGTTTGTTTATTCTCTTATCTACTACATACTTTACTTAGACTGTGAGTTTGTTTATTCTCTTATCTACTACATACTTTACTTAGACTGTGAGTTTGTTTATTCTCTTATCTACTACATACTTTACTTAGACTGTGAGTTTGTTTATTCTCTTATCTACTACATACTTTACTTAGACTGTGAGTTTGTTTATTCTCTTATCTACTACATACTTTACTTAGACTGTGAGTTTGTTTATTCTCTTATCTACTACATACTTTACTTAGACTGTGAGTTTGTTTATTCTCTTATCTACTACATACTTTACTTAGACTGTGAGTTTGTTTATTCTCTTATCTACTACATACTTTACTTAGACTGTGAGTTTGTTTATTCTCTTATCTACTACATACTTTACTTAGACTGTGAGTTTGTTTATTCTCTTATCTACTACATACTTTACTTAGACTGTGAGTTTGTTTATTCTCTTATCTACTACATACTTTACTTAGACTGTGAGTTTGTTTATTCTCTTATCTACTACATACTTTACTTAGACTGTGAGTTTGTTTATTCTCTTATCTACTACATACTTTACTTAGACTGTGAGTTTGTTTATTCTCTTATCTACTACATACTTTACTTAGACTGTGAGTTTGTTTATTCTCTTATCTACTACATACTTTACTTAGACTGTGAGTTTGTTTATTCTCTTATCTACTACATACTTTACTTAGACTGTGAGTTTGTTTATTCTCTTATCTACTACATACTTTACTTAGACTGTGAGTTTGTTTATTCTCTTATCTACTACATACTTTACTTAGACTGTGAGTTTGTTTATTCTCTTATCTACTACAAATAACATCTCAGGTATCTCTAGAATATGTTCGTCACAATTTGTGGAGCACAATTGTTGCAGACTTTTGGATTTGTCACATATTATAAATCTGCATTTTATTGCTTGTGATATTGTATAGAATAGAGGCAAACTACGCGATACAAAATTCTTTGAGTTTTTAACATAATTGAATATGAATATAACAAATTAAAGTTAATGAACTGCAAGCTTTTGTTTTCGGTTGCACAAATTGTTTTGACGGTGATTAAAAGCAAGGCAAGTAAGATCCGAAAGTGAAACCAGTTTTGTGACTTTTCAAAATAATTTGCGGGTTGAGAATCTCTCACAAACTCCCTATTTTGTTGTTTGTATCGTTATCAGTTTATTTCGTTGCTCAGACTATAAATAAGAGGATGATTATTGAACCATCTTATGAAAATAGTTGGCTGCGTGTAATATTACTTGTTGAGGAACTTGTATGTGTTTACAGTGATAAAGAGAAACAAGACTATGGAGCTGGCAGTGAACAGTGTAGAGAACTGGAGATCCAACTTGAGGTTTGTTTTCTTATTTCCGTAAATTTTGTCCGTATTTTCATATCTGGTTAGACTCGGCGATGGAGTTGTTCTTACAAATAGAACATCTTGTGTTTGTGAATGAAGTTTAACTGTGAAATCTCAACAACCTGTTATTTGATGTTTCTTTATACGCTTTTCTATTGAATATTACTTCTTACTTACTACTTACGTCATTAAAGACCGATTAGTGCCTAATTAAAACTGCCCACCAGAGTAAATGTGTAGCGCTATCAGCAGATCAGAAACACTACGATGTAGCCTTACAATACATCAGAACGAGAACAGCTGACCTGTTCGACTACAATATGCTCACTGAACAGTTCGATGACTTGTTAAATGTGAGTAAAGCTAATACCGGTACGGACTACGGCTTATACCGGTTAATAGATGGGACAACTTTTGAATTGTCTCTGACCAGCTGAATGATCATAGTGATAACAGTATCTTACAAGGGTAAGTGATACAGGTCTAAATGTGATATATAATACTGGTGATGGGTCATGTACCCTCTCAGTATCTTACAAGTAAACACTGCAGGCAATGTTCCGGGGAGAGAGTGGTAATGATATTGAGAATCAGCTGGAGGATATGTTAGATGAAGCTGAGGAATCAGAAAGACAACACGTGACCTCCCTTCATATCGAGGAAAGGATCTGGGAAATATCAAGGTAGCTGCAATCTTATTATTGGGGAGGGGGTGGAGGTACGGAAAAATATCAAGGTAGCTGCAATTTTATTATTGGGGAGCCCGAGGGGTGGAGGTACGGGGAAATATCAAGGTAGCTGCAATCTTATTATTGGGGAGGGGTGGAGGTACGGGGAAATATCAAGGTAGCTGCAATCTTATTATTGTGGGGGGGGGGGGGGGGGGGGGGTCGGGGTGGAGGTACGGGGATTATAGTTCTTATTTTTGCCATTATGATATATATACAGCCCTTTAAGGAATCTCTTTTACAGGGTATAAATGAGAAACTGTTGCTAGCGCTGAACAAGTGGAGCTCTTTAGAAAGTAAGGGATACACGAGCGAACAACGTGAATCCCTGGGAAAACAAGCTAGAGGTCTTATCGTTCAGACTATTGATGTGAGTTACACTTTCATTCTTTTAGAAAGTGCACAAATTAACAGGTACTTACTGGAAAGAAAAATCGTGACTTATGCTATCTAATGACTCTGATCTGACTTTGTTATGTAAAGGACATCCTGTCAGACAAGTAATCCATAATATTCAGGAGTTGGTAGCACTAGAAACTATCTTGAAGCAGTACGAGGACTATCAATCTGAAGATCAGTGCATTGTGAAACTCATCCAGTTCATCAACATCTCTAAAGAAGAGAGCGTCCTACAAAATGTACTAAATATTACGACAGATGACCCTAACCAGATGTTTGAAGGAAGTGAGGGGGTGGGTGACGGCGTTGATACCATCATGTTCTGTCAGACTTGTACAAGACGTATTGAACAGTGGGTCTATGAAAAGTTCAGGATCAAGGTAAAGTTGTGACCCCCCCTCCCCCCTTCTTCTCTCCCTTGTTCCCTTGTTACCCAGTAATATGTGATCAGCTGATTTGACTAACTGTAGTTTTTAAAAAGGAAGGTCAGGAGAAGTTGACAGCGTTACAAAAAGTAGTTTATGAAGCGAAAATGAAGTTAAAACAGGAGAGAAGGGGTCTTATAGAGTCCTGGTTCACAGTAAGTTTATAAGATGTCTTTTAAACATACTTTATCAGGATAATGTTTAACTTATCTGACTACAGTAACTTTTCGTAATTTCTGTTGAAATTTGTTCCTTTTTATCAACTTTTTCTCCAAACAGGAGCACGTTGGTGAGTTTGAGAGGGAGAACACAGTCATATCTGTACAAAGTAATAATCAGTCAAATGGAAATCCTGTGCAGACAAATGATGTGGACCAGTCATCTGAGCCAGTAAGTATTTTGGTAAAATCATCAATTTTCATGTCAGTATCGCGCGAACTACAAAAAATATTGAATTGTTCAAAGTACTCTGTTTTATATCCACTAAAATTTAATCGCGCGCGAATTACGCAAAGAGATGTATGAATTGTTCTAGCAAGGCACGCAACCCTTAATAATGCTGTTAGTTGTTACCATGGTAACCACGCAACAATTAACAGCGATACGGCAAATCTCTTAATCTCCTTCAGTTTAATTGAGCTCTTGAAAATCTAAATACATTTTATTTCTTCAATAGGCTGCATTATATAATACAAAGGAGGTTTTTAAAATATATTCTACACTAATGTATTTTAATTTACTGTTTTATTTAATTAATTGAATGGGTTTAAATATTGTTATTTGTTAAGGGTGTCTACTGTCTAACCTTATAACCGGACATTGACCATTACTGAAGTTATCTGTGAAATTGAATATTGTTTGAATCCTTTTACTGTCATTAATTTGATTTTAGCATTACGGGAAAACAAAACATACACCTAAAATAAAAGTGCACGACAATTTCCAGGAAAAAACGACATCGGAAGTGGGTATGGTGGAGTCATATACTCAGATTGCAGCCAGGGTACAAGCCTGGGAGAAGAAATCAGATTTAGACGTCATACGGGCAGAACTAGAATTACAGGTATAGTATATAGGTACCTGTAGGTACTATACAGGTATTATACAGGTATAGTCAATAGTAGTATAGCGCTCTTTCTACAGCTTAATTCATTGAGCATGTTGGATAAATCATTATGTCATTGACTTCCCATATGAAGTGAGGCAACATTGAGAAAATTATTTCTGCAACTCAGGATAAAATGAGAGCCCGACGGAGAAGACAACGACACCAGCGTGCTCAGAAGTTGATTGAAGTTCAGACACCTACCACACAAAATACGGTATAAGCCAAGATGTTTCAATGTGATGAAGTATCCGGACTTTGTTATTTAGAAGTTACTGAACTTGATCAACTTAATCTATAAAATATTTTGGTCGTTATGACATATCTAATTTATTTAGTTGTTCTTGCAATAGTGTTACCACTCCAGTCCTTCCCTACATTTCTGGGATGTTAGATTAAACACTGCTGAGTATAAGTTTTATCTTAAAAGTAGTGTTATTAAACTTCAGTTTATTATTATTGATACTACTTAAATTATATTGTATTTATAGTTACAGCCTGTATCTGTTGGTAGCTGACATTTTTTTTTCTGACTTCAGATATTAAGTTCATTCTATCTGGCCTTAATTATTGAATCAGCCGTCAGGGTTATGTTATGCTTTTTAATAATCTGTTCGCTTTTGTTCTATGATTTTTACATTTCTAGGATGATTACAAATTCGAGAGTTAGAATTAAGCTCTTTTATCATGCGACTATTTCTATTTTGTAAATATCCATGAACTTTTTGTATCTAACATAACTAAGAAATGTCGACTTTCTTCAAAAAGAAATTGTTGCCAAACCATGTTCGACTGTGCGCTGCCAAACCATGTTCCTTGACCTTGTTTATATCCAATTTCCAAAACTAATAAAATTTGGAAATTGTTTGTCAGTATTATGGTTGAACACGCCCAAGGGAGTGTCTGGAAGTGAAAAAGGATTAAAAAGTATATCATAAACTATATCATGTATATGCCCCTCGGGGAAATTACATCCCTTGCATACGCAAGAATTTTAATACTATTTAAAATGTTGGAGCAAGATTTTAATATCGTGGGCTGGAGAGGAGCAGGGGCAGGTAAATCGAAATTAATAAATTAGATCACATTTTGTGGGTGATTGCCGTGTTGGCCACGGCTCCCAACAGTCACGTGACCAAGGAGCCAGGCGTCTGGGTGCTGGGTAACGGAGCGTGTTACCATGGTAACAGTCATGTGACTTTATTAGACGTGGTGACAGACATTGTCCTCACTGCTTTCAGATATCCGCCCAGGCTTGTTGGGATCAATGTCCAAACTGTCAAGCTTTTGTTCATAGCAAGTTGTTTAATTGAGTATTTCATTTCCTGTTATCAAAATCTTGATGATGATTGTAATTTCTGATCAGTTCCCACAATCTGCTTTCATCATAATTGAGCTGCATATTAACCAATTAAGACTATAAGCGTAGAATAAGACCGTCCACCATCTGTAATAGCATTGGTTTTGGTAAAAACGGCGACTGCCTAAGGTAAAGCCGTAGTACATACTAAGTCATGCTAAGATATCGCCGATAATGAATTTAAAATTGACTTATTTAGAATCAGGTTCGGAGTTGCGAATGTATTTGCTCGAATAAAATATAATAGAACTATAATAACTCATGACTACATAAACTCATTAGCTAATCATGATGTCATTTTAGTTTTCCCTCATAAAGTACAATAAAGGTCAGCAATATAAACAACCTACAAAATCAGTAACTGCTTGTCAAATCCGCGAGCAAATTAATCGATATGTTACCCCGGACCTAATATCAGTGTTCAATCTAATCCAGCAAAAACAGCATACATTTTGAGTGGGCCACCAGTTCTTAGTATTTCTCGGATTGGATCAACTTATGAAACGCATGGGTAGCTTTTGGTCCGATAAATCTTTTAAAGTTAGTTTTGTTTTCTCATTGGCTCCTAAGCTGTTCGTGATGTTATCAGTATCTGAAAAGTCTCGCTATACTACTATAATTTAAAATTGTTAAAGTGCCTTTTAGCCAACGAGCAGCTTTTATCATAATTTAGCTTCCCGGTATGTTTTATCAGTCGTGTTATATTGCCGAATGATGCTGGTCTCTCATTGAGATCTCATTCATCCAAAATTAATGATAAAACTGGTGACACTGACAGTGACGGAAAATTTAAGAAGCCTGGGGTCGGATGACACGGGCTGCAAAAGCGGGGACTTTGTACCCTACTATCACTGATAGTGGGGTACAAAGTACTAGTAGAGTGATCGCTAGTTTCGTGTGATTTACAGGTTTTTGAGGAAGGTGAGAACATCTGATTGGGAGCTAAGTGGTTAAGCTGTTGGTGGTGGCACAGATTGGGTTCCTTCAAAGAGGGCTGACCTGGGAGAATGCGAATTATTTCGATTGGATAGAATATCAAAGACTGCAATGCGAGTTTATAAGTTTTGTCGTTTTGATCGATTATCTAAATGTCTAGTTTTCAGTAATTTGAAAACTGAAACGTCAGTTTGTTCTTACCGTATATTTTTGAATGCTCCACTCTTCGACTCAAAGCTCAGTCCTTCATTGATTTTCTGCACTATTATCCCGGAGTATTACACTGTTACAACCCCTCTGTAACACCCCCTCTGTAACACCCCTCTGTAACACTCCCTCTGTAACACCCCCTCTGTAACACCCCATCTGTATTACCCCCTCTGTAACACCTCATCTGTAACACCCCTCTATAACACTCCCTATGTAACACCCCATCTGTATTACCCCCTCTGTAACACCTCATCTGTAACACCCCTTCTGTAACACTCCCTCTGTAACACTCCCTCTGTAACACCCCATCTGTATTACCCCCTCTGTAACACCTCATCTGTAACACCCCTCTATAACACTCCCTATGTAACACCCCATCTGTATTACCCCCTCTGTAACACCTCATCTGTAACACCCCTCTATAACACTCCCTATGTAACACCCCATCTGTATTACCCCCTCTGTAACACCTCATCTGTAACACCCCTTCTATAACACTCCCTCTGTAACACTCCCTCTGTAACACCCCCTCTGTAACACCCCTCTGTAACACCCCCTCTGTAACACCCCCTCTGTAATACCCCCTTTGTAACACTCCCTCTGTAACACCCCCTCTGTAACACTCCCTCTGTAACACCCCCTCTGTAACACCCTCTCTGTAACACCCCCTCCGTAACAACCCCTCTGTAACACCCCCTCTGTAGCACCCCCTCTGTAACACTCCCTCTGTAACACTCCCTCTGTAACACTCCCTCTGTAACACTCCCTCTGTAACACTCCCTCTGTAACACTCCCTCTGTAACACCCCCTCTGTAACACTCCCTATATAACACCCCCTCCGTAACAACCCCTCTGTAACACCCCCTCTGTAACACTCCCTCTGTAACACCCCCTCTGTAACACCCCCTCTGTAACACCCCCTCTGTAACACTCCCTATATAACACCCCCTCCGTAACAACCCCTCTGTAACACCCCCTCTGTAGCACCCCCTCTGTAACACCCCTCTGTAACACTCCCTCTGTAACACTCCCTCTGTAACACTCCCTCTGTAACACCCCCTCTGTAACACTCCCTATATAACACCCCCTCCGTAACAACCCCTCTGTAACACCCCCTCTGTAGCACCCCCTCTGTAACACTCCCTCTGTAACACTCCCTCTGTAACACCCCCTCTGTAACACCCCCTCTGTAACACTCCCTCTGTAACACCCCCTCTGTAACACTCTCTCTGTAACACCTCATCTGTAACACTCCCTCTGTAACACTCCCTCTGTAACACCCCCTCTGTAACACTCCCTTTGTAACACTCCCTCTGTAACACCCCCTCTGTAACACCCCCTCTGTAACACTCCCTCTGTAACACCCCTCTGTAACACCCCCTCTGTAACACCCCCTCTGTAACACCTCATCTGTAACACCCCTTCTATAACACTCCCTCTGTAACACTCCCTCTGTAACACCCCCTCTGTAACACCCCTCTGTAACACCCCCTCTGTAACACCCCCTCTGTAATACCCCCTTTGTAACACTCCCTCTGTAACACCTCATCTGTAACCATCCCTCTGTAACACCCCCTCTGTAACACCCCTCTGTAACACCCCCTCTGTAACACTCCCTCTGTAACACCCCCTCTGTAACACTCCCTCTGTAACACCCCCTCTGTAACACCCTCTCTGTAACACCCCCTCTGTAACAACCCCTCTGTAACACCCCCTCTGTAGCACCCCCTCTGTAACACTCCCTCTGTAACACTCCCTCTGTAACACTCCCTCTGTAACACTCCCTCTGTAACACTCCCTCTGTAACACTCCCTCTGTAACACCCCCTCTGTAACACTCCCTATATAACACCCCCTCCGTAACAACCCCTCTGTAACACCCCCTCTGTAACACTCCCTCTGTAACACCCCCTCTGTAACACCCCCTCTGTAACACCCCCTCTGTAACACTCCCTATATAACACCCCCTCCGTAACAACCCCTCTGTAACACCCCCTCTGTAGCACCCCCTCTGTAACAACCCCTCTGTAACACTCCCTCTGTAACACTCCCTCTGTAACACTCCCTCTGTAACACCCCCTCTGTAACACTCCCTATATAACACCCCCTCCGTAACAACCCCTCTGTAACACCCCCTCTGTAGCACCCCCTCTGTAACACTCCCTCTGTAACACTCCCTCTGTAACACCCCCTCTGTAACACCCCCTCTGTAACACTCCCTCTGTAACACCCCCTCTGTAACACTCTCTCTGTAACACCTCATCTGTAACACTCCCTCTGTAACACTCTCTCTGTAACACCCCCTCTGTAACACTCCCTTTGTAACACTCCCTCTGTAACACCCCCTCTGTAACACCCCCTCTGTAACACTCCCTCTGTAACACCCCTCTGTAACACCCCCTCTGTAACACCCCCTCTGTAACACTCCCTCTGTAACACCCCTCTGTAACACCCCCTCTGTAACACCCCCTCTGTAACACCCCCTCTGTAACACTCCCTCTGTAACACCCCCTTCAAAGAAAGATGATGTTTAGTGAACAAGACAGCTACTGTGGTATGATAGATAACTACCAGGAGCAGACTACTGGTTACCCTGGTTACCTGCAGGGTTCCTCCGAACTATTCTCAAGATCTCACTCACCTAGGACGGTTAGTAACAGACTTGTTCTCTTTAAGTGAGTTTAACAAGTAGAACTTGAGGAAAGTCGAAGGGAATAGCATAACTAAAAGTACAATTTGCTAATTGCTATAGTGATATATCCTTGAATGTCAAATTGTCAAGCTGCAAAGATTATATATATATATAAGAATAAGATTTAATTTTGATTAGGCTTTTTGATATAATCCATTTTCTGGCATTTAAACAGCATGCTTATAAACGTTCTATCAAGATGTTGACTATCTGGAGTGTATAGCCTAGCCTGGAGGGGGATTTGGTTAAATGTTGACTGATTTACAATTTAATCATCCTTCAATTTGAACAAATCCTTTTAGCAAAATCAAAATATCTTTATCAGGTCAAAAGGATAAACTCAAACGCAAGGAAACGTTTGCGACAACATATTGTAAATGAGGCTTTCTTAAAGGTATGTGATGAAAACAGTTTATCTAGGAGTAGAGATATTATCACAGTCCTAACAGTGACGTCACTGTGACGTCACTGTGTCCTAGTAGTGACGCCACTGTGTCCTAGCAGTGACGCCACTGTGTCCTAGCAGTGTGTCCTAGTAGTGACGCCACTGTGTCCTAGTAGTGACGCTACTGTGTCCTAGTAGTGACGCCACTGTGTCCTAGTAATGACGCCACTGTGTCCTAGTAGTGACGCCACTGTGTCCTAGTAGTGACGCCACTGTGTCCTAGTAGTGACGCCACTGTGTCCTAGTAGTGACGCCAATGTGTCCTAGTAGTGACGCCACTGTGTCCTAGTAGTGACGCCACTGTGTCCTAGTAGTGACGCCACTGTGTCCTAGTAGTGACACCACTGTGTCCTAACAGTGACGCCACTGTGTCCTAGTAGTGACGCCACTGTGTCCTAGCAGTGACGCCACTGTGACGTCACTGTGACGCCACTGTGTCCTAGCAGTGACGCCACTGTGACCTAGCAGTGACGTCACTGTGTCCTAGCAGTGACGCCACTGTGTCCTAGCAGTGACGCCACTGTGTCCTAGCAGTGACGCCACTGTGTCCTAGCAGTGACGCCACTGTGTCCTAGCAGTGACGCCACTGTGTCCTAGTAGTGACGCCACTGTGTCCTAGTAGTGACGCCACTGTGTCCTAGTAGTGACGCCACTGTGTCCCAGTAGTGACGTCACTGTGACGTCACTGTGTCCTAGCAGTGACGCCACTGTGTCCTAGTAGTGACGCCACTGTGTCCTAGTAGTGACGCCACTGTGTCCTAGTAGTGACGCCACTGTGTCCTGGTAGTGACGCCACTGTGTCCTAGTAGTGACGCCACTGTGTCCTAGTAGTGACGCCACTGTGTCCTAGCAGTGACGCCACTGTGTCCTAGCAGTGACACCACTGTGTCCTAGCAGTAACGCCACTGTGTCCTAGCAGTGACGTCACTGTGACGTCACTGTGACGCCACTGTGTCCTAGCAGTGACGCCACTGTGTCCTAGTAGTGACGCCACTGTGTCCTAGTAGTGACGCCACTGTGTCCTAGTAGTGACGCCACTGTGTCCTAGTAGTGACGCCACTGTGTCCTAGTAGAGACGCCACTGTGTCCTAGTAGTGACGCCACTGTGTCCTAACAGTGACGCCACTGTGTCCTAGTAGTGACGCCACTGTGTCCTAGTAGTGACGTCATTGTGACGTCACTGTGACGCCACTGTGTCCTAGCAGTGACGCCACTGTGTCCTAGCAGTGACGTCACTGTGTCCTAACAGTGACGACACTGTGTCCTAGTAGTGACGTCACTGTGACGTCACTGTGACGCCACTGTGTCCTAGCAGTGACGCCACTGTGTCCTAGCAGTGACGCCACTGTGTCCTAGTAGTGACGCCACTGTGTCCTAGTAGTGACGCCACTGTGTCCTAGCAGTGACGCCACTGTGTCCTAGCAGTGACGCCACTGTGTCCTAGCAGTGACGCCACTGTGTCCTAGCAGTGACGCCACTGTGTCCTAGCAGTGACGCCACTGTGTCCTAACAGTGACGACACTGTGTCCTAGTATAGCCACTGTGTCCTAGCAGTGACGTCACTGTGTCCTAGCAGTGACGTCACTGTGTCCTAGTAGTGACGCCACTGTGTCCTAACATTGACGCCACTGTGTCCTAGTATAGCCACTGTGTCCTAACAGTGACGTCACTGTGTCCTAGCAGTGACGTCACTGTGTCCTAGTAGTGACGCCACTGTGTCCTAGTAGTGACGCCACTGTGTCCTAGCAGTGACGCCACTGTGTCCTAGCAGTGACGCCACTGTGTCCTAGCAGTGACGTCACTGTGACGTCACTGTGACACCACTGTGTCCTAGCAGTGACGCCACTGTGTCCTAGCAGTGACGCCACTGTGTCCTAGTAGTGACGCCACTGTGTCCTAGTAGTGACGCCACTGTGTCCTAGTAGTGACGCCACTGTGTCCTAGTAGTGACGCCACTGTGTCCTAACAGTGACGCCACTGTGTCCTAGTAGTGACGCCACTGTGTCCTAGTAGTGACGTCACTGTGACGTCACTGTGACGCCACTGTGTCCTAGCAGTGACGCCACTGTGTCCTAGTAGTGACGCCACTGTGTCCTAGTAGTGACGCAACTGTGTCCTAGTAGTGACGTCACTGTGACGTCACTGTGACGCCACTGTGTCCTAGCAGTGACGCCACTGTGTCCTAGCAGTGACGTCACTGTGTCCTAACAGTGACGACACTGTGTCCTAGTATAGCCACTGTGTCCTAGCAGTGACGTCACTGTGTCCTAGCAGTGACGTCACTGTGTCCTAGTAGTGACGCCACTGTGTCCTAACATTGACGCCACTGTGTCCTAGTATAGCCACTGTGTCCTAACAGTGACGTCACTGTGTCCTAGCAGTGACGTCACTGTGTCCTAGTAGTGACGCCACTGTGTCCTAGTAGTGACGCCACTGTGTCCTAGCAGTGACGCCACTGTGTCCTAGCAGTGACGCCACTGTGTCCTAGCAGTGACGTCACTGTGACGTCACTGTGACACCACTGTGTCCTAGCAGTGACGCCACTGTGTCCTAGCAGTGACGCCACTGTGTCCTAGTAGTGACGCCACTGTGTCCTAGTAGTGACGCCACTGTGTCCTAGTAGTGACGCCACTGTGTCCTAGTAGTGACGCCACTGTGTCCTAACAGTGACGCCACTGTGTCCTAGTAGTGACGCCACTGTGTCCTAGTAGTGACGTCACTGTGACGTCACTGTGACGCCACTGTGTCCTAGCAGTGACGCCACTGTGTCCTAGTAGTGACGCCACTGTGTCCTAGTAGTGACGCAACTGTGTCCTAGTAGTGACGTCACTGTGACGTCACTGTGACGCCACTGTGTCCTAGCAGTGACGCCACTGTGTCCTAGCAGTGACGCCACTGTGTCCTAGTAGTGACGCCACTGTGTCCTAGTAGTGACGCCACTGTGTCCTAGTAGTGACGCCACTGTGTCCTAGCAGTGACGCCACTGTGTCCTAGCAGTGACGCCACTGTGTCCTAGCAGTGACGCCACTGTGTCCTAGCAGTGACGCCACTGTGTCCTAGCAGTGACGCCACTGTGTCCTAACAGTGACGACACTGTGTCCTAGTATAGCCACTGTGTCCTAGCAGTGACGTCACTGTGTCCTAGCAGTGACGTCACTGTGTCCTAGTAGTGACGCCACTGTGTCCTAGTAGTGACGCCACTGTGTCCTAACAGTGACGCCACTGTGTCCTAGTATAGCCACTGTGTCCTAGCCCTTGTTATTAATTGCTAAGTCGTCACCACGCGGGAGAAATGAGGAGAAAGCTACAATAGCGCTTACAACAACAACAAAACAGTAACGCGTAGAAACCAACTTCAGATCCTATAACCGAGATAATAACCACAACTCATCGTTTTTTTAGTTACGAGACACCTGTAACACCCCCTCTGTAACACCCCCTCTGTAACACCCCCTCTGTAACACCCCCTCTGTAACACCCTCTCTGTAACACCCCCTCTGTAACACCCCCTCTGTAACACCCCCTCTGTAACACCCCCTCTGTAACACCCCTTCTGTAATACCCCCTCTGTAACACCCCCTCTGTAACACCCCCTCTGTAACACTCCCTCTGTAACACCCCCTCTGTAACACCCCCTCTGTAACACCCCCTCTGTAACATCCCCTCTGTAACACCCCTCTGTAATACTCCATCTGTAACACCCCCTCTGTAACACCCCCTATGTAACACCCCCTCTGTAACACCCTCTCTGTAACACCCCCTCTGTAACACCCCCTCTGTAACACCCCCTCTGTAACACCACCTCTGTAACACCCCCTCTGTAACACCCCCTCTGTAACACCCCCTCTGTAACACCCCCTCTGTAACACCCCTCTGTAACACCCCCTCTGTAACACTCCCTCTGTAACACTCTCTCTGTAACACTCCCTCTGTAACACTCCCTCTGTAACACCCCCTCTGTAACACCCCCTCTGTAACACCCCCTCTGTAACACTCCCTCTGTAAAACCCCTAGTTACGAGACATGGTTCCAGCCAGGAGACCCGAGAAGAAAATGTCGAAACTACAGATTCTGAAGTCAGCGACTAGATACATCAACTATCTGACACAAGTACTGCAAAGAGATCAAAATATAAATAACCAGGTTGATGTTATGAAATATTTCATATTTTACTAATATAAGCAATCATACATTTTCAGTTTGTCAATAGCAAATAGCGAATAATAGTAATAGTAATACGATATTAACAAGTTTTTTCAGACATTTTGCTTTTCCGACCAAAAGTATAAATTGTCTCTTAAGACCAAACACCTCGCATGCCAGGAAGCTCAGGGTCAATAGGTTATATTGATTTAGAATAGGTGGTAATCATTACCGGATCACTTTTAACCGTTTCTGCGATAAAATAAATTTATACGTTTATCAAATTATATTCAGATTTCTTTGCGCTATAATAATAAACGGTATTACCAAAGTGATACCGATTAAATCGGTATCACTTTGGTTACACCTCGTATATACCTCAGGATAAACAAGATCAGATGGTGACGAGTACAACAGATTTTTACGATTTGCCCGCCTCCTGCACAGACCACTCCCTCAATACCACCAGCTGCACAGATCACTCCCTCAACACCACCTCCTGCACAGACCACTCCCTCAACACCGCAAGCTGCCAACTTATAGACACCTCTAAGTCTTGCTGCTTCCTGGAGGACGCTGACGACTTCTTTTGATATTCCCTCTTTATCTAAATCAAATCAAAATTGTTCCAACAATGTGCAGAAAGATTGTAACCGGAGAGCAAGAATCTGATGTGAACAGGAAGAATCGTAGAAATGAATTCTTACTAATTTTTCGTCAACACTTGCTCATGTCAAATCAAATAAGGAATAAAGACAATTTTCTGCAATTCAGAAAAAACATCTTAAATGATGTAGAAGACAGTGTCCAGAAGTTGACTGTTCTATTGTTACCAGCTTAATAACAGAATACGGACAGAGGTTTTAAAATGATCAAGGATATACGTTCATTTGAGTTTGAGGATATTGGTAAATATTAGTGGCTCTATTAAAAGGCACGGTGTATTTGACTTTGTCACACTATGAAATTATTTAAACCCTTGATGGTTAGAATAATCGTTTCATCCTCTAGGCAAACTTTGTCACATAATAATATCCTAATCAGGTGATAAGATATCGTCTAAATACATCCGGCACGGAAATTGTTACTTAGTCACACTATAAACTGAAACATGTGACGGAGTAAATATGGACCCCTTGCTGCTGTGTTTGACAAAATTTTCGAGTGTCCAGTTGATAGGATGGGTACATATGACCATTACCTACATATTTGACAACTTTTTTCGTTAAATGGAGCGCCCAGGTTAACTTCATATTTGAAAATGGGACAGACTTTTGGAAATACAACTTTTCGTTTTCTTAAGCTTTCTGCTGTGGGCTTCCTCCGACCGATATCAAACATCCAGCACCTCAATCGTGTCATATGCCATCTATAGTTGACTTACTTATTGGTTGCAGGTGAGAAATTCAGTAAAAACTGTAAAATTTCGGTCCTGGAAATTTCATCTTCAAAAACTGAAAATGGGACAGAGATTTGGAATATATGATTTTACAATTTTATTCGGGATTTTGACTTCCAGTACCCCAATTTGGTTTCATACCATCATCAATTAACTGACTAATTGGTCTGTGGGCAAAAATGTCATTTAATCTGTCGAATTTGTGTTCAGAAAATTTCATATTTGAAAATGGGACAGACTTTTGAAAATACAACTTTTCGTTTTCTTAAGCTTTCTGCTGTGGGCTTCCTCCGACCGATATCAAACTTCCAGCACCTCAATCGTGTCATATGCCATCTATAGTTGACTTACTAATTGGTTGCAGGTGAGAAATTCAGTAAAAACTGTAAAATTTCAGGTCCTGGAAATTTCATCTTCAAAAACTGAAAATGGGACAGAGATTTGGAATATATGATTTTACAATTTTATTCGGATTTTGACTTCCAGTACCCCAATTTGGTTTAATACCATCATCAATTAACTGACTAATTGGTTTGTGGGCAAAAATGTCATCTAATCTGTCAAATTTGTGTTCAGAAAATTTCATATTTGAAAATGGGACAGACTTTTGAAAATACAACTTTTCGTTTTCTTAAGCTTTCTGCTGTGGGCTTCCTCCGACCGATATCAAACTTCCAGCACCTCAATCGTGTCATATGCCATCTATAGTTAACTTACTAATTGGTTGCAGGTGAGAAATTCAGTAAAAACTGTAAAATTTCGGTCCTGGAAATTTCATCTTCAAAAACTGAAAATGGGACAGAGATTTGAAATATATGATTTTACAATTTTATTCGGGATTTTGACTTCCAGTACCCCAATTTGGTTTCATACCATCATCAATTAACTGACTAATTGGTTTGTGGGCAAAAATGTCATCTAATCTGTCAAATTTGTGTTCAGAAAATTTCATATTTGAAAATGGGACAGACTTTTGAAAATACAACTTTTCGTTTTCTTAAGCTTTCTGCTGTGGGCTTCCTCCGACCGATATCAAACTTCCAGCACCTCAATCGTGTCATATGCCATCTATAGTTGACTTACTAATTGGTTGCAGGTGAGAAATTCAGTAAAAACTGTAAAATTTCGGTCCTGGAAATTTCATCTTCAAAAACTGAAAATGGGACAGAGATTTGGAATATATGATTTTACAATTTTATTCGGGATTTTGACTTCCAGTACCCCAATTTGGTTTCATACCATCATCAATTAACTGACTAATTGGTTTGTGGGCAAAAATGTCATCTAATCTGTCAAATTTGTGTTCAGAAAATTTCACATTTGAAAATGGGACAGACTTTTGAAAATACAACTTTTCGTTTTCTTAAGCTTTCTGCTGTGGGCTTCCTCCGACCGATATCAAACTTCCAGCACCTCAATCGTGTCATATGCCATCTATAGTTGACTTACTAATTGGTTGCAGGTGAGAAATTCAGTAAAAACTGTAAAATTTCGGTCCTGGAAATTTCATCTTCAAAAACTGAAAATGGGACAGAGATTTGGAATATATGATTTTACAATTTTATTCGGGATTTTGACTTCCAGTACCCCAATTTGGTTTCATACCATCATCAATTAACTGACTAATTGGTTTGTGGGCAAAAATGTCATCTAATCTGTCAAATTTGTGTTCAGAAAATTTCACATTTGAAAATGGGACAGACTTTTGAAAATACAACTTTTCGTTTTCTTAAGCTTTCTGCTGTGGGCTTCCTCCGACCGATATCATACTTCCAGCACCTCAATCGTGTCATATGCCGTCTATAGTTGACTTACAAAGTGGTTGCAGGTGAGAAATTCAGTAAAAACTGTAAAATTTCGGTCCTGGAAATTTCATCTTCAAAAACTGAAAATGGGACAGAGATTTGGAATATATGATTTTACAATTTTATTCGGGATTTTGACTTCCAGTACCCCAATTTGGTTTCATACCATCATCAATTAACTGACTAATTGGTTTGTGGGCAAAAATGTCATCTAATCTGTCAAATTTGTGTTCAGAAAATTTCATATTTGAAAATGGGACAGACTTTTGAAAATACAACTTTTCGTTTTCTTAAGCTTTCTGCTGTGGGCTTCCTCCGACCGATATCAAACTTCCAGCACCTCAATCGTGTCATATGCCATCTATAGTTGACTTACTAATTGGTTGCAGGTGAGAAATTCAGTAAAAACTGTAACATTTCGGTCCTGGAAATTTCATCTTCAAAAACTGAAAATGGGACAGAGATTTGGAATATATGATTTTACAATTTTATTCGGGATTTTGACTTCCAGTACCCCAATTTGGTTTCATACCATCATCAATTAACTGACTAATTGGTTTGTGGGCAAAAATGTCATCTAATCTGTCAAATTTGTGTTCAGAAAATTTCATATTTGAAAATGGGACAGACTTTTGAAAATACAACTTTTCGTTTTCTTAAGCTTTCTGCTGTGGGCTTCCTCCGACCGATATCAAACTTCCAGCACCTCAATCGTGTCATATGCCATCTATAGTTGACTTACTAATTGGTTGCAGGTGAGAAATTCAGTAAAAACTGTAACATTTCGGTCCTGGAAATTTCATCTTCAAAAACTGAAAATGGGACAGAGATTTGGAATATATGATTTTACAATTTTATTCGGGATTTTGACTTCCAGTACCCCAATTTGGTTTCATACCATCATCAATTAACTGACTAATTGGTTTGTGGGCAAAAATGTCATCTAATCTGTCAAATTTGTGTTCAGAAAATTTCAAATTTGAAAATGGGACAGACTTTTGAAAATACAACTTTTCGTTTTCTTAAGCTTTCTGCTGTGGGCTTCCTCCGACCGATATCAAACTTCCAGCACCTCAATCGTGTCATATGCCATCTATAGTTGACTTACTAATTGGTTGCAGGTGAGAAATTCAGTAAAAACTGTAACATTTCGGTCCTGGAAATTTCATCTTCAAAAACTGAAAATGGGACAGAGATTTGGAATATATGATTTTACAATTTTATTCGGGATTTTGACTTCCAGTAACCCCAATTTGGTTTCATACCATCATCAATTAACTGACTAATTGGTTTGTGGGCAAAAATGTCATCTAATCTGTCAAATTTGTGTTCAGAAAATTTCATATTTGAAAATGGGACAGACTTTTGAAAATACAACTTTTCGTTTTCTTAAGCTTTCTGCTGTGGGCTTCCTCCGACCGATATAAACTTCCAGCAGCTCAATCGTGTCATATGCCATCTATAGTTGACTTACTAATTGGTTGCAGGTGAGAAATTCAGTAAAAACTGTAAAATTTCGGTCCTGGAAATTTCATCTTCAAAAACTGAAAATGGGACAGAGATTTGGAATATATGATTTTACAATTTTATTCGGGATTTTGACTTCCAGTACCCCAATTTGGTTTCATACCATCATCAATTAACTGACTAATTGGTTTGTGGGCAAAAATGTCATCTAATCTGTCAAATTTGTGTTCAGAAAATTTCATATTTGAAAATGGGACAGACTTTTGAAAATACAACTTTTCGTTTTCTTAAGCTTTCTGCTGTGGGCTTCCTCCGACCGATATAAAACTTCCAGCACCTCAATCGTGTGATATGCCATCTATAGTTGACTTACTAATTGGTTGCAGGTGAGAAATTCAGTAAAAACTGTAAAATTTCGGTCCTGGAAATTTCATCTTCAAAAACTGAAAATGGGACAGAGATTTGGAATATATGATTTTACAATTTTATTCGGGATTTTGACTTCCAGTATAACCCCAATTTGGTTTCATACCATCATCAATTAACTGACTAATTGGTTTGTGGGCAAAAATGTCATCCAATCTGTCAAATTTGTGTTCAGAAAATTTCATATTTGAAAATGGGACAGACTTTTGAAAATACAACTTTTCGTTTTCTTAAGCTTTCTGCTGTGGGCTTCCTCCGACCGATATTAAACTTCCAGCAGCTCAATCGTGTCATATGCCATCTATAGTTGACTTACTAATTGGTTGCAGGTGAGAAATTCAGTAAAAACTGTAAAATTTCGGTCCTGGAAATTTCATCTTCAAAAACTGAAAATGGGACAGAGATTTGGAATATATGATTTTACAATTTTATTCGGGATTTTGACT